ATGAATCTTAAAAAGTTGTTTATGTCCCTGAATTTAAAAATTATTGTAGCCCTTATTTAATGAGTAGTTTTAACGGCACATGATAAACATTAAACATATTGGTTGCCTTTATGTATGGATACTTTGATCGACATATGATGCATATAAGATTATAAACTTTCTAATGTTATCTCTTACCTGATGTCGAAAATTGTGGTTGTTTAATTGATGAGTTTTTTGTTCATCACGAGAACATGTGGGGTATATGAATCCTAAAAAGTTGCCCATGTCCCTAAATTTAAGAATTTATGTAACTCTTATTTAATGAGTAGATTGATCAGTCTATGATAAACCTTAAACATCTTGGTTTCCTTTATGTATGGATACTTTGATCGGCATATGATGCATATGAGATTATAAACTTTTTAAGGTTATCTCTTACCTGATGTCGAAAAATGTGATTGTTTAATTGATGAGTTTTTTATTCATCACGAGAACATTTGGGGTATATGAATCCTGACAAGTTGTCCATGTCCTTGAATTTAAAAATTTATGTTGCCCTTATTTAACGAGTAGTTTGATCGGCACATGATAAACATTAAACATATTGGTTGCCTTTATGTATGGATACTTTGATCGACATATGATGCATATGAGATTATAAACTTTTTATGGTTATCTCTTACCTGATGTCGAAAAATGTGGTTGTTTAATTAATATGATTTTTTTATTCATCAAGAGAACGTGTGGTGTATATGAATCCTAAAAACTTGTTCATGTCCCTGAATTTAAAAATTATTGTAGCCCTGATTTAATGAGTAGTTTTAACGGGACATGATAAACATTAAACATATTGGTTGCCTTTATGTATGGATACTTTGATCGACATATGATGCATATAAGATTATAAACTTTTTAAGGTTATCTCTTACCTGATGTCAAAAAATGTGGTTGTTTGATTAGTTTTTTTGTTCATCAGGAGAACGTGTGGGGTATATGAATGCTAAAAAGTTGTCCATGTCCCTGAATTTAAAAATTTATGTAACCCTTATTTGATGAGTAGATTGATCAGTCTATGATAACCTTAAACATCTTGGTTGCCTTTATGTATGGATACTTTGATCGGCATATGATGCATGTGAGATTATAAACTTTTTAAGGTTATCTCTTACCTGATGTCAAAAAATGTGGTTGTTTGATTAGTTTTTTTGTTCATCAGGAGAACGTGTGGGGTATATGAATGCTAAAAAGTTGTCCATGTCCCTGAATTTAAAAATTTATGTTCCCCTTATTTAATGAGTAGTTTGATTGGTCTATGATAAACATTAAACGTCTTGGTTGCCTTTATGTATGGATACTTTGATCGGCATATGATGCATGTGAGATTATAAACTTTTTAAGGTTATCTATTACCTGATGTCGGAAAAATGTGGTTGTTTAATTGATATGAGTTTTTTATTCATCACGAGAACATGTGGGGTATATGAATCCTAAAAAGTTCTCCATGTCCCTGAATTTAAAAGTTTATGTAGCTCTTATTTAACAAGAAGTTTGATCGGCACATGATAAACATTAAACATATTTGTTGCCTTTATATAGGGATACTTTAATCGACATATGATGCATATGAGATTATAAACATTTTAAATTATATTTCTAACATTGTCCAGAAATCACTCTTTCTCATTTGTAATATCTTCATATTTTTCCGTCGATTTTGGGTTGATTATCTTTATTATCTTTTATTCATGAAAAATAAAAATAGCTATTCTTCTATTTACAAACAAAAATAATTTTAAATTTGATTTTATAGGATTTCTATCAACGGACCTAAAACATGTTTTTATTTAGCGATAAACTAAAAGAAACAAAGACAACTGTTTATTCTTTTTAATTATTTTTGTGAAGATTTTATAGTTTGTTAAAAATCATGACAATGTAAAAGACTTTCTAAATTGATAATGTCAAAGTTATATTTTAAAAATTTAGAAAATAAAAATAAAAAATTCAAATACCAATTAAGTTTGTATTTTAATTTTGAAAAATTAAAATATTAAGAGCATCATTAAAATTTTTTATTCAAGTTAAAGGACACTTATTAATTTTAAAATTTTGAGGCTTAAAATATAAATAAAAATATTTTAATAATTTTAAAAGAAAACACTAATAAAATTTCACCAAATAATTCATATTAGAATAAGTGAAATTATAAAAAATAAAAATTTAAATATTTTAATTTCTATACAGGGACATTAATTTTTTCTTTTTAAAAAAATATGTTTTTATTTCGCCCGGCATGTCTTATTTATATACATTTTCTCTATTTCACCGAGTAAATTCTCCACCAAGCCGATCGTCCGAGTTGAGAGAAATCTTTAAATTATAGATAAAAATATGAAATAGTTAAGATTAAAATTTAATTATGAGTTTGTCTCGTATGTTATTAGTATTTTTGTTGTCAATTATTATCACCACCAATCATTATTGGTAGTGCCATTTCTATAATTGGTCATAACTACCACATCTGTGTCTCAAATACAATGGTTGGGTACAAGATGATGGGATCTGGCATGCCTTTTGTAACGCGGCAAAAGAGGGATATGGAAATAAAATAGGGAATAAAAAGAGGCACGTAAAAGACATGCATTTTTAACTGATGTGATAAGATTTTATTGGTGGAACAAGAAATGGAGTGTGAGACAAGCAATTTTCATCCCTATTATTATTATTGTCGTCGTCACTACATGGTGATAGTAATGTTAGTCATGGTGATAATGATGTAAGTAATGATAATAATGGTAGTTGTGTAGATGATGGTAGTGTTAATAATAATAGTGGTGGTGGTGATTTTGGCGACAATGTTGCTACTATTATTAGTGTTGTGTCATTATACATTATTTTCATCGGCTGACACCACTATTGTTGTCACAACATGGTGACAATGATAGTGTGGTTTATGGTGGTTGTAGTGATTATAATTGGAACAATATAATAATTCAATAAGAGGAATTTTATAATAAAATTTTAATTTTAATCATTAATTATTTTATTTATAATTTAATATTTATTATTTTGTCTTTTAATTCATACATGTCAATTATTTTAGTGGTGGTCGTACATTTTCTAACTAAAATAGGATTTCATTTTTATTTGTTAAGAAAAAATTAAAAGATTAGTTATTAAAGAATTATATTGATTTTATTTTTCTTTATCAAAATCTAAACTTTATAATTATTTTGTTATATTTCTCATTCATTTTTAATTTTGAATGTTTGCTAAAAACTTGTCAAGAAGTAAGATTTTGAATTATTTTTCTCTCCTTAAATTGACTTCTATTAGTTATTAAATTTTAATGTTTATTTTTATTTAAGTGATGTGGCATTTTAAATATAATATTTAGAGATAAAAAAAATATAAATGATATTTATTAATAAAATAAATATCAATTATTTATTAAAATATATAGAACTAATTTTTATTGTATGTTATTTTTTAGTTTTTTATCTTTACATATTACATTATTTAAGTGATGATAAGTTACTGAACATCAAAATTTAACTATTAATAAATATTAAATTAATAGTATGATTAAAATTTTGTATTTTAAAATAGAGAAACTCAATTTGTGAATTGATTAAAATAGAAAAATGAAAAGTATAATTTATATAAAAAAATGCATCAAAGTGGATACTCCTCCCACAAAGCAAGTTTATTAGCGTATCAATATGTACTTTTTCACGAAAGAAAGTTTCTTAATGTGTGAGGGACTTATTCTTTTCTATTAGTAGGAATTATAATGGTGATAACAAGATTAAAAATTAGAACATTGTGAATATTATTTCGTGGCTCATAATCCGATTGATTTAAATGATTTATGTTTGAGAATGTACATTAATATAACAATAAAATTTTAATATATTTTAACGATAAAAAAAAAGTGTATTAAAAAATCGTTTATAGTATTTATTTGCGTTGTAATGATTAAAGGGAAGAAAACATATATTATGTGATTTATATTTTAGGCAAGTTTTTTTTTAAAAAATAATGACAATGATATGTAGAATTTTCTTTAAAAGTTGAAAAATATTAATTAATTATATTTAAATTAAATAAACATATCATATTTTTTACTAAAATCAGGTTAAGGTTCAATAAAAACTAATATTTTTTTTATAAATATAATTCACGTAATATCTCAAAATTTATAACTAATAACTAATCTGTATTAATAGAATGCAATTCTGATTGATAAAAAATTACTTTATAAGAATAAATCTGGGAGTACCGTAAAACTAATATTACCTGGTCTATTTCACCTTTAATTTTAAAGGAAATATCTGGGTTCATAGAACCATGTTTAATCATGGTAAACGAACTTTTATAATTGTGCCAAATTTCTTAGATAAATTTGAAAAGAAAATAGTTAAGCATCTTACATCATTTTTCGTTATAAGTAACATTTTATTTTATATACGATGAAAAACACTCGGTTGCATCCATATGTAAAACATGCCCATACAATATTTTTTGTTGTAAAAATATATTCATAACTGAATTATAATGCAGGAAAAAAAAACTGAATGTTATAATACTATTTCACATATTCTAATGATAATTATAGATTAAAAAGAGTTTTATTTATTTATTTGTTTGTTTGTTTGTTTTTATCAATATACATAAACAAAATTATTTATATTTTAGTTGTATCATTTCAAATACATTTTTAGTCTTATTTAATTTTATAAAATCAAAATCTTAAAAAATATCGAAGTTTCCCAACATTTACTAATCTGACAATATGTATGGTCAAAATAAAGACACTAAGCCAAGACTCAAGAGGCCACAGAAAAATCCAATCAACCAAGTGCTTTTACCAATTCAAGATTATCAATTCAATTGAAGTATTGACTGAGTTATGATTATTTTCTTATTTGAATTTTATTATTCTTTTATATTATGCTAACCAACATTCTGTTTTTTCTTAGATTTTTATTTGACCTCTGACCATGAGAGGAAGAAGATGAAGCAAACACAACCTGACGTCCACATTTTTTATATTAATTTATGACTCTCCAATAAAATTATTAATAACCAAAATTACAACAAATCTCATTTGCACGCTATTTTACAGACAATAGAATGCATAACAAAGGACCCTATAGACTATAGTATTTTTATTAATTTACACAAGACAGAGAAAAAAATTGAACTCATGGATTGTGAGAGTTTTATAATATGAAATGGTTCTGTTTTCATGCGAGTGTGCATTCTGGAGGAAGGCCTTGCGGGAAACGCTTAGTATCAGCACAGTAGTTGTAAATCATGTAGTTCTTTTGCACCCACTTAATTCTGGCTTGCCCTGTTGCATCCAATGACTGTTTCAACCATGCTTGGTTTGATGATGATGGATTGTTGGAAGAGCATGATGAGCCTGAAGAAGTCCAAACACATGCTTGAGCATTGAAGCTTCTATATGAGGCTGTGAATGGGGCTTGGCTCCAATCAGTCTTCACTAGGCCTCCCCTTGTGGCCCAATCATCAGCATTCCATAGGCTTGAATATATCCTCATAGCTTGGTTTTTGGGAAAAGAAACCCCTTTTGATTCAAGATTCTTGAACTCCCTTATGGGTGTCCCATCCACTGAGAATCTAAAATAAAAGAACTAAAAAAGGTTAATCTTAAAGTTAACATAGATATGTTCTAGTAATTATTAAGTTTAATAAGCAGAGCAAATAGTATATTCATCAAGTGTTTTTACACCGATATCGGATTACAAATCAAGCAGAGTAACTGTTATCTGATTACAAATTATTACGTGTAGTAAGTTTTATAACTTTTCAGTAATCAACTTGAAAGTTGGATTAACATATATTTCTGATTCATTTTCGGTTTACATTTTTCTGATGAAGTTATAGGTATTCAATTCAATTAATGAAGTAAGGCATGAAGAGAGAAGGGCATGCATATATTTACATGATGCTCTGAGGATTCCAAAGAACGGAATATGTGTGGAAGTCCTTGGTGGGGTCGAACCACAGATAGAATTGCTGTTCCCTGTTACCTTTCCCTTGTGTGAATACGTTTGTATGAAGAATATAAGGATCACCACTCAAGTTACCCAGAAATTCAAAATCAATTTCGTCATGAGTATCCCCGAGAGAAGATAGCTGCAGCAACCACAAATAAATATTTTGTTAATGATTTGATTCAATTTTTCATGTTAAAACATTTGATATGGCAAAACTAATAGAGAACCACATGCAAGCTGTGACACTTACATAATAAGCTGTGACTGTTCCTGCAGAGTTACCAGGCACGAGCTTAAGTTGCATGTCAATTTTTCCAAACAAATACTCGTTCCTAGAACGAAATCCAGAGCCAGAGGTTTTGTCTAGGGACAAGGTGAGAAGGTTCCCGTTGTTGAGGATTTTGGCACGACCATCACCCCATGTTATCTCAAAGTCTTGGTTGAGGTTACCAGCAGAGGCTGCAACCACAAAGGTTGTTATTATAAGGGCAAGAAATATCTTACTTGACATTCCAATAAGTGTTTTAATTAATAAGGTTGGAAAATATGGAGCAAGAGAAAGAGAGGGACAGAAAAAGCCAAGAGAAGTATTTGGTGAGGGCTGGAGTGCATGCAAAGTTGTGAAACTATATATAGGGAGTGCCTTAAGAGGGGGCAATGATAATTATGAATGTGAAGTGCCATTGGGTTTTGGAGGTGGTGGAAGTGGTTGGGAAAATATTACAAACGTGTAGAGTGTTAGAGAGATATGGGTTGACTTGTCCTTAGTGGAGGGCTGGCTGAATGTGGGACCATGACAGCTAAGGAGGGATGGTATATCCAAATGTTCTCGAATTATTTGGCTTCTCAACCTAATTAAAGTTTTTCTTTTTTTCTTCTTCTTAATAAATGTGAGCACTTAAAGACATTGGCTTTGAAACCTCAAATCAAACCATGCATCTTGTTCTATTAGTTGTAAAGTTTGTCGACAATGTAATAATCTCAAAATCAATTTTCATTAATATTAAAATAATATTTGACTGATTAAGTAAAGATCAATTCTTGATTATCAATTTTACGGTGTCTAAAGAAAAAAAAAACTCAAATCAAATGGCAGCTGTCCTGATTTTGGGGGTATTCTTCTTTTAGTTAATAGTTCCACGAATCGACTTATTACAAAGTGGTAGTATTAAATTCATGCTTTTAATTATGCCAGTTGGAAGAAGTCCCACCTTAATTAACACCTTTTTATCTAACATGAAACTTGTTTGGATTTGGTGAAACTAACAAGTTTATCCTAAAATTGGAACATACGACATGGTTTAAGATACATAAGCTTGTGGGATATACAGAGGACATGCGGTATACGTTAGTTAATAAAAGTGAAAATGAGAATGGAATAGTTAGGTAACTAAACTAAGCTTTCATGGGTTCGTAACAAAGAAAAACAATGGGATTTTTTTGACAGCTGTTATTGGTATTATGTCATCAATTACTAGTTTATAGAATAAGTGGTGGTACAGGGGAAGTTTCAAATAATGTGACGTACGAAGGAGTGGTGGATATTTATTATAGTGTAAAAAGAATCACTGGTGTATTTTGGACTTTGGAGTTGGTATAATTAAGGGGCTGGAGAAGGTAGAGATATGAGTTGTTATTTGTTAAATCATATAAGCTTTCTGCCAAAAAAATGGGTCTTTCGCTGGTCAAATGTTGCTTTCGTGCAAAGCTGGTTATGAACATACACATTTCACAGTATATATTCGTCGCCATTTATGAGAAGTGGAATATCGCATACGCTTCCTTAGGCAAGACCATTTCCTTCTTCTGGACTCGTGTTGTCAAACTGTGACTTAATCAAGGCTGTGTTTTCTATTTTTTTAACCATACCAATTAAAGACAATCATTCAAAAATGCTCCCTTGTTTGTGTGTATGTTGTATTACATACGTTTTGAAAGAAACTTCTTCAAGAGTTTAATTAAATACGCTTGTTCTTTTAAAATTAACATGCAAGTTTGATCTATTTGTTTGGTTCTTTTTTAAGTTCAACATGACATTTTCAACATCCAATTTTTAAATAATTCAACAAAGATTTTAATCATAATGCATTGACAATATTTTTTTTCACTGTCATTTAATTATAGATGATTAAATATAGTAAAGTTATCGACTTTTGTAATAGTTAATTACTTTAAAAATAAGCGTTTTATAATTGGTCTGTAAAATTCTTTTATACTCAATATATAAAAATTAATCATTTTTTAAAGTTTATTGCGTTGTTGTTGTTGTTGTTAGAGAGTGTAGAGGTTCAAATATCATTTCTAATATTTCTAACCTAATCAGATTAGTTTAGAGATGAAGGGTTTGAACAATATGCACAACATTTTAGGTTTTAATTTTGTGTCACTATTATACCCTAAAATCTACACAAATAAATAAGTTAGTAACAGTGGGGATGAACCTGAAGAAATTATTAGAGGGGAAAAAACTCAAAAAACAAATATTAGAAGGAGAAAAACATTAATTAACAAGTTGAAAGAGGTGAGAAAAAGGAAACTATATATAGCATTAAACTTTAAATCCTAAAAGTTAAAAATTGTTATTTTTTCACACGTAGATGTTCATTTATAAGAGAGTAATTAAAAGTAGATGTTTGAAAAAATAAAATAAAAAAAGTTAAAGGTAAATGCAAGTATGTAACATTGTCAATCCCTTCCATTGTTGGGTTATCCTAGTCAAACAAACTTAATTGCTTAGGGCCAATATTAGAGGATATGGGTCAAAATTTTCATTTAAGTAGATGCTAAGAAGTTTTTGTTCTTTTAGGTGGGAGGAAGCCTCGATAGTCATATACCTAGTTTTGTCCCTGAATGGTAGGGCCAATTCAGGCTAAATTATGCCTTTAAATGAAAAATGCCCTCAAATAATTTTTTTATAATATATATTTTTTAATAAGTAATTAATTAATAAACATGTATAAATTGATTTTTTCTTCTTCATCTTCTTGAAAATAGGCCTGTTTGTTTTTTCTTCTTCTTAATTATCTGATTTTTTATTTTTATTTTTCTTTAATTGATTCCTTAATGTAATTAATTTTAGAAAAATATTAGCAACACTC